GCAACTGTGTAGACAAGAGCCCTGAGAGGTGCCCAGAACACTGAAGCTGGTGTTTGCCCTGACAGCATTTGCCCACCAAGGGAAATGAGGGAAATGAGAGGCGAGGCTCAGGGCCTGCCTGAGTATAATTAGATTGGCAGAAAACTTTTTGTAAGACCACCTACAATGTATTACATCTGTTTAACAACATTAAAACAGCTCTTCATTAATAAGCCTAGCTATTTTAAAAATAATCTTTGCTTTCATTTTAACAGTGTGAAGAAATAGGTCTTTGATTTAAGCAACGGGCATTAGTGCAGTTACCCTTCCCAAAGAGTGAGCTACGCATAAACCACCACCAGTCTCATTGCTTGTACAGAATCCCACCCAGGATTGCCGATGGACTAGGGCCTCCTACTTTAGGTAGGAGCAGGTTGAATGGGCCTGACAACCTCTCTGACTTTACAGAGCACTGGGCTGACACGTGGCCCCTTTCCAGCCCAGCTGCCAAAATCGTTGTGGTTTTCTGGTGCTAGGAATGAGTCCTAGGAATTGACTGACAGTTGTGCTGTAAAGCACATGTGTTTGCGGGGGCTTTTTATAAATAGCTCATTTCCCCTCTACATTCAGGAAAAAGGTTTTAGAACTTCATGAGAAATAAGGCAAAGAGCAAGGCATATGAGGACAAAATATCAGTATTTGTCTGTAGTGAGAACTAGGATAGAGGATGCAGCTTATCTCTGTGGGCAAATAGGCTTCCGCATATTGGATCCCCGCCACCCTAGGAAGCTTAGCCTTCCCCAGACACAGCGGCAGTCTCCACGTGGGGTACCTGTCCAGTTAAGGCCGACCTTACAACTGGGAGATAGGTGAGGACACCCCTGTGCGGTGGGGAAGAGGGGGAAGAGTTGAGCTGAGCACTCAGAAATATCCAGGTTTCTCTTTTCACGTTTGTCAAGCAGATGTCACATTTTATGTCCCCAAGTAGAGTGAATAAAGGAACACAGAGGCTAGAAGTGTTAGGTTAATTTTTTCTGGCTGCATTGAAGGCAACAGGATTGGGAAGGAAGAGTTCTCTCAGATACTCATTCTGAGAAATGAAAACGTGTTGAAGTTTGAGAGACTAAAGGATCTTTACATTTTTGTTCCTAGCAACCTTGTAGTTTGTACTGTGTGGTATTAATAATAATGGGGAAAAGCTAACATTTGTTGAGAATTTACTACTTTTCATGCTCTAGATTGAGTCTTCATGTATGCTATCTCATTTAATTCTCAAGCTCTAACTGCTTGTTTTGTTACCTTCGTTTTATAGATAGTGAAGCTCAGGCAGAGAGACAAAAATACTCAAGGTTACATAGCTAGCAAAATTCAAAAGCGATGGCGTAAACTTAGATATTATTACTCTGTATCTTCTGCTCGTTTTAAGATGTTTTTATATGAAAAATACATAAATATGGATTGGAAAAATACATACTTATTGCAATAATCCAAGCAATATAAAAATATCTAAAGTTGAATTAATGGGCCCCTTCTCCCCACAATCCATTCCTATTACAGTCATCATTCACAGGGTGTTATATACCTTTCTTTGCCCTTCCTTTATGTATATGTTAATATTTGCATATATATTTTTCCTTGTTAGATATAGGATTATATAATCTCTACTGTATTTTTTACTATTTTAATTAAGGTATTATTTATATAAAATGCTCCGATATTTAATGTATGTGTGTTGTAGATTTTTTTTGAGACAAGACCTGGCTGTATCACCCCGGCTGGAGTGCAGTGGTGCAGTCTTGGCTCACTGCACCCTCTGCCTGCTGGGCTCAAGCCGCCCTCCTACCTCAGCCCCCCAAGTAGCTGAGACTACAGGTGCGCACCACCACACTTGGTAGAGGCAAGAAGTTTCTCCGTGATTCCCAGGCTGGTCTTGAACTCATGAGCTCAAATGATCCCCACCCGTCATGGCCTCCCAAAGTGCTGGGATTGCAAGCATGAGCCACGGTGCCTGGATGTAAATATTTTTTCCTGGTCTGAGATACTATGAAGTTTAATGGTGTCATTATGAGCAGAAATGTAAAATTTTAACGAAGCTTAATTTAATACTTTTTCTCATATTTAGTACCTTTTTGTCCTGGTTAAGAAAGCTTCGCCTACCACAATATGTATTTTATGAATTCTTCTAGAAGCTTTATGGTCCTAACTGTTACATTTAGGTTTGTGATTCACCTCAAATTAATCTGTGAGTACGGAGTTGCTAAGATGCTTTATGGCCATGTACATGGTTTAACCGGGTAACGTTTCTTGTGATCTTGAGAAGAATGTGTCTTCTACCTGTTTTGGGCAGAGCGTTGGATCATTGTAAAAGTCAGTTGATAGTGTTATCCTGCTCTTCTGTGTCCTTCCTGCCTTTTTATCACCTTTATGGGCTTATTATTATAAATCTTTTTTTGACAGTATGTAAGTCGAATTTATCACATACTGTTATAACAGTATATAAGAACAGCAGCAGTTATGTTTGAAATAGGTTCAAAAATTAAGGAAAATAACCTATATATTTATTAACATATTTATTTTTTTCTTCTTCTTTTTGTATACATTTAATTTTCTTCTCATTATCATTTTTTTCTGCCTGAATAGTTTCCTTTAATACTTTATAGTGCAGTTCTGCCTGGTGATGAATCTTCTCAACTTTTGTATGTTGGAAGAGTATTTATTTTACCTCTATTTTGGAAGATGCTATTTTTGTGTAAATTTGTAGGTTGACAGTTACCCATTTTTTTCTTTTGATACTTAAAAGGTATTACTCTATTGTCTTTTGATTTGTATTGTTTCTCTGAGAATTCCCTGTCATATTTGTTCCTCTCTATGGAATATGCCTTTTTACTCTAGCTGCTTGTAAAGTTTTCTTTTTATTTTACTTTAATTAATTAATTACTTTTTTTTTGGGCTCAACAGTTTATTAATTTTAGTGTAATTAACCAACAGAAGGATTAGAATAGGGGTTGTCAAACTGTGGTCTGCAGAATTAATTAATTTTTTTTAGAGACAGGGTTTCATCCTGTTAGCCAGGATGGTCTTGATCTCCTGACCTCGTGATGCACCTGCCTCGGCCTCCCAAAGTGCTGGGATTACAGATGTGAGCCACTGTGCTCAGCCTGTTTTTATTTTTGACACAGGGTCTTGCTTTGTTGCCCAGGCTGGAGTGCAGTGGTGTGATCACAGTTCACTACAGCCTCCAATGCCCATGCTCAACTGATCTTCCTGCCTCAGCCTCCCAGGTAGCTGGGACTATAGGCATGCACTACCATGGCTGACAAATTTTTAGAATTTTTGGTAGAGAAAGGGTCTTGCTGTGTTTTCCATGCTGGTCTTGAACTCCTGGTCTCAAAGGATTCTCTCATCTTGGTCTCCCAAGGCACTGGGATTGCAGGCATGAGACCTTGCCCCTGTCCATAAGGTTTTCTCTTTATTACTCTGTGTGTGTGTGTGTGTGTGTGTGTGTGTGTGTGTGTGTGGTCTTCTTTTCTTACCAGTCTGATTATGATGTACCTTGGTGTGATTTTTCTTTGTTTCTTCGCAGAGGGCTCATTGAGCTTCTTAGACCTGGAATGACCAGTATTCATGCATTTGAAAAATTCTCAGACAAAATTTCAAGCATTTTTCCAACTACACATTTATTAGGTCTTTTGAAGGTGTCCCACAGTTCACTGATGCTCTCTTCTTTTTTTTTCAAGTCTTATTTCTTCTGTGTTTATTTTGGATAGATGTTTATTGTTAATTGCTATGTCTTCATGTTTACTAATCATCTAGTCTGTAGTGTCTAATTTGTTAATCCCATTCAGTGTATTTTTAATACAAGGCGTTGCATCGTTTATCTGTAGATTTTTGATTGGAATGAATTTTGTGTCTTTTTTTCTCTCTTATCGTGTTTTTGCTTTCTTCTTCCGTCTTGAGTATGTGGACTGTATTTACTATAGCCATTTAATATCTTTCTGCTAAGTCTGTCAGTCATTTCTAGAGATTGAATTATGAATCGGCGTTTTCAGCTTGGCGTGTTTGGCAATGCTTAATTAGATGTTTGTCACTTTGAATTTTATGTGATTGGGTGCTGACGTTTTTACAGTGTCTGTACTTCTGGGCTTTTTCTTGGGCCCATTTTTATTACCTGGAAACAGTTGAATCTTTTTGAGGCTAACTTTTTTGCACCGTTAGGACCATCCAGAATGGCTTTTAGTCTTGGATTAATCTGGTCACGCCAATGAAGCAATACCTTTCTTAGGATTCTCCTTGATGTCCCTTATTTAGGCAATCTTTCCACTCTGGCTGATTGGTACACAGATTATTCCTAGGACTGGATGGCTTCTGAGGATGATTTTGCCTGTTCTGTATGATTTTAAAATTATCTTCCAATTTTTATATTATAGTTATATTGTTTATTTTCCAGATTGTTTCAGTGTCTTTGTTTTATTAAAATGTATGGAGAATTATGTTATGCTAGCTTGCTAGTGAATTACCAAATGATTATATGTAATAGTTTCATAGTGATCTGAAAGAGTTATCATTTCTCCTAAGATGCCTTACACATCTGGAGGCAGATGATACAGCCTTGGTATCATAACATTATTTGCAGGGCTGGGCACAGTGGCTCACACCTGTAATCCCAGCACTTTGGGAGGCCGAGGCGGGTGGATCACGAGGTTAGGAGATCGAGACCATCCTGGTCAACAAGGTGAAACCCTGTCTCTACTAAAATACAAAAATTAGCTGGGCATGGTGGCGTGTGCCTGTAATCCCAGCTACTCAGGAGGCTGAGGCAGGAGAATTGCCTGAACCCAGGAGGCGGAGGTTGCCGTGAGCAGAGATCGCGCCATTGCACTCCAGCCTGGGTAACAAGAAAGAAACTTCGTCTCAAAAAAAAAAAAAAATTATTTGTAGTGGTTATAAAGAAATAACATGTATTTATTCTCACACTAATTAATACTATTTTAATCTCCTTGATCTGTATCCTTTCTCTCTAGGAAGAACGCATTGTGAATCACATGGCAGCAAAAATAATTGAAAATGTCTGTACCACCTTTTCTGCTCAGGCCAAGGGCTTTATTACAGCAGAAGTCGGACCTGTCTTATGGTACCTGTTCAGACACTCCACTGCTGATTCCCTTAGGATAACAGCAATATCGGTAAGCTGGAGCGTCTTTTGGTGATATATCTGGGTATCTTTAAACACCAAGTTTGAAGAAAACATCAGAATAAGCGTAAACTTAAATGAATAGGTAGGAAACTGAAATCTCAGAGTAATATAGAGAGAAATAACTTGATTTCCTTTTAAAATAGGATTTTGAAAACTGGGGACTGGAAAACCTTGGGACTTTGAGAGAATTTCAGTAAAACCTTGTTAAGAAACTACTAAAGATACAAAAATCAGCTGGGCGTGGTGGTGCGTGCCTGTAATCCCCGCTACTCGGGAGGCTGAGGCAGGTGAACTCCACGCCACTGCACTCCAGTCTGGCGCCTGGCAACGGAGCTAGAGTCTGTCTCAAAAAACAAAAAAAGACTATGGTATTATGGTTTTAAAAACCAATTAATAATTAATTTATTTGTTTTGAGACAGAGTGTCCCTCTGTCGTGCAGGCTGCAGTGCACTGGCATGATCTTGGCCCAGTGCAACTTTTGCCTCCTGGGTTCAAGCAATTCTCCTGCTTCAGCCTCCCAGGTAGGTGGTACTATAGGCATGCACCAGCATGCTTGGATTTTTTTCCGTATTTTTGTAGAGACGGAGTCTTGTCATGTTGCCCAGGCTGGTCTTGAACTCCTGGCCTCAAGCGATCTGCCTGTCTTCCAAAGTGCTGGGATTACACAGGCATGAGCCACCGTGTCCAGCCTCAAAAACTATTTAGAGGTGATAGTAGAAAACTGTGGCAGTATATGGGGTACAGGGTTTGGGTTACTCTGTTTTTGATGTTGCTGACTTTTCCCTGTTGGCATCCTCATTCAGATTCTGTGTCCGATGAGTTTATCATGTGGTTCAGATGGATTCATTTAATGCTCAGGGGTCTGTGACTTTGCCGTTTTTGTGTTTTGATTGGTTGCCTGCTACTTTGCTCACATGGTTCTAATAACTTGATATAAAGGATAATTACGTATGAAGATGTTTAACATGCTTGTATCAATTTAATAGTCTACCGACCAAATACAACCCCCTCTCATGTGATTTGTTTGAATACCCCTTTGAGTCAGCGATCTCATCTGGGCTCTTACACGTTAGGTGGCATCCTTGTGTTCCCTGGTTGGCCGCTCCTGCACTTCTCTCTGTGGCAGTTCCTCACTCTGTCTTCCTTCCTTATGTCCCCATCCTCTCGTTTTCATCACGCCTCCTCACTCAGGACCTTCCCCCTGCTGCCCAGAGAAAAGCGAAGCCCTCCGAGGGGAATGATGCCATGCCTTGTGCCACGTAAGTAGGACCTGTTCACTGCACACCTGTGTCTCTCAGTTCCTTCCGTCCTGGCGCTGTCGACAAGCTGTCCATCCTCCTGTCAGAGACGATCCTCTTCATGCTCCTCCAAGTCTTCTTTCTGGTCCCTTCTTGGGAACCTCACTTAAATGGTTCTTTTTACCCTTTCCTAGATCTCAAATCTTTCCTTCTCTACTAAGTTCTTCTAGTCAGCATTTAGGTGTTCTTTAATTTACCTCATTAAAATACCTTTGTGCGCGCACACACACAGACTCACACACACAGTCACACACACAGACCCCCCCCACTGTCTCACACACACACACATAGACACACACACTCACACGCACACTGACATACACAGACACACAGTCTCACACACAGTCACACACTCACACATGCACACACACTCACAGACACACAGTCACACACACACTCACACTGAAAAGTCTCTATGCTGCTTATCCCCCCATTCCTAGCTGTACCTCTCTGAAGACCCATTGCCACATGCTGCTCCTTTCTGGCCTACATTTCCGTTTTAGCCCAATCTGGTGCTGTCCAAAAAATGCCACTGAAGCTAAACTTGCTAAGGTTACTAATAACTTCCATGTTGCTAAATCCTGTGGGCGTTTCTGGAATTTTCTCATATTGTGCTACGTATATAATCTGGAAGTTCAGCGGTTAAAAGTCCTCTCCTGAATATCATTAAGAAAGGATGTATAGCACTGATTATACACACATCTGTTTCAGGATGCACACGTTTTCAAAATTACAGAAATCCACAACCAGTTGTGGTGCTAACAATTACAGGTGAACAATCAGAAAGAGTTACACAGTACACAGTGAACTTTGTTGAGGCACCATTGAAAACTATTTCAAGGCATTCATTTAAATCCTGGGCGTTTAGAAAAACCTCTCTTGTTTTGATTGGGTTTGCGTTATAAAGATCACATTATTAAGATCTTGGTGCTCAGCATGGTTTCTCATGGTTTGTCTTCTTGGCAAGGTGTTTTTCAGTTGTTCCACCTCATGTCTTCTAGTCCTTCCACCCGACGCGTCAGGTTTGAGTCTTTGACTTGCTCCTAGCGTTTATCTGAATCATTACTTTCTCGCAGAAATTTTCCAGTTGTCCCAACAGTGTCTCTGTTTTCTTTTCTGTGCCAAGATTCTGTCCCTGTTCAGGAGGATGGTTTGCCTGTCCTGTCCTGGCCTGTCCCATCCTGTCTTGGCTTTTTTTTCTTTTCTTTTCAATGGCGTTTTGGTCTTGTCACTCAGACTGGAGTTCAATGGTGCGATCTCGGCTCACTGCACCCTCCACCTCCCGGGTTCAAGCGATTCCTGTGCCTCAGCCTCCTGAGTAGCTGGGATTACAGGTACCTGCCACCATGCCCCGCTAATTTTTGAATTATTAGTAGAGACGGGGTTTTGCCATGTTGGCCAGGCTGGTCTTGAACTGCTGACTGCAGGTGATCCACCCGCCTTGGCCTCCCAAGTGCTAGGATGCTGGGATTACAGGTGTGAGCCACTGCGCCTGGCCTGTGTTTTGTTGTCTTAGCTCTTTAGTCTCCTCCAGTCTGGTAGGGTTTTTCGGTCCTTGTGTTTTCAGACCGTTTACAGGTTTTAGATTGCGGGGCTTTTGTTCTGTAGGGCGGAGCTCAGCCTGGGTCTGTCTGTGTTTCCTCATTAAATCTCCATGGCATCCATCGACGACTCTCACCTGTAGCAGATACCTCTGTGGTGGTTGCCATGTGATGATGATCTGTTTGCATTGTTCTTTTCACATCAGAGGTTGGCAAATATTTTCTGTAAAGGACCAGATAATAAATATTTTGGGCTTTATAGGTCACATACAATCTCTCATGCATATTTTGGTTTTGCTTTCAGTAACCCTTTAAAAATGTAAAATGAGTTTTGTTAATTTTTTTTTTTTTTTTTTTTGAGACAGAGTCTTGCTCTGTCGCTTAGGCTGGAGTGCAATGGCGTGATTTCTGCAACCTCTGCCTCCTGGGTTCAAGTGATTCTCCTGCCTCAGCCTCCCAAGTAGCTGGGACTACAGGCACCCACCACCACACCCAGCTAATTTTTGTAATTTTAGTAGAGACGGGATTTCACCACGTTGGCCAGGCTGGTCTCGATCTTCTGACCTTGTGATCTACTCTCCTCGGCCTCCCAAAGTGCTGGGATTACAGCCGTGAGCCACCACGCCCAGCATGGAGTAGCTTTCTAAATGGTCTTCCAAAGGCCACTTTTAGGCTCCACCAACTTGGTTCTCCCCACAGAATGAACTTTATAGAATCATATCTCCTCTTCTTATCTGCGCACATTTTTCAAAGCTTTCATTTTTTTTGGAAAAGTTAATAATACTTTATTAATAATCCTAGATAGAAGTTGAGAATTGACTGCTTTGTTTTAAGGTAATGTTAATATTTAAAGCAGCACATTTTGCTTAGTCAATTTGTTTTGTTCGTTTATTTTATTATAATGTCTTAGACATTTTAAACTCCTTGAAATTTAGGGTTATGTTTTGTTTTTCTCTCTCTGTTTGACACCAGGTCTGTTGATTGCAAGTTAAGGTTCTTCTTGCAAAGAAAAGCATCCTGCCCAAATGTGAGCAGAGGGCCGAGGTTAATAAGATTAAACTCCCGTCCTTACTGGGAGACAAAGAGGAATAGGCCACAACATAATAATAAAAGGCAGGTGGGAGAACAGCATGAGATCATTGTACAGTTACTCTGACATCACGGTCTTACGAAAAAAAGTGCACCTACACGGTTAACAGATTTGCATGAGGGTTTACTAAAGACTGAGGTTATACAAACGGAGAACATGTGCTCTGAAAATAATTCATGCACATTCCTGGCGGGGAAGGACAGTCGCCTCCTCTCTGGGGTGGCTTCCATGGCTGAACCTTCTTCTTCAGGTATTTTTCGCTGTTTACCTCTCAGGAGCGTGTCCTGGAGGTTAATGGATACATTTGGTGATACAGGTCAGAGTTCTTAACGTGACCTTCAGTGTCTTGCGTGGTTTGGCCCTTGCCTGCCTCTTCTGCTCTGTCTTGTAACACTCACTCCCTCCATCACTCTGTCTCCAGACTTTACCTTCAGACATTTCCCAGGATTCGTAAGCATTTTCTGCCTCTGGACCTTTCTCCTTGCTGTTTGCCGTGCCTGTATGTTCTCTGCTGGCTTTTTACATGGCTAATTCCTTATTTCAGGTCTCAGCGTAAGTGTCACTTCCTCAGTGAGGACCCCGTGACTTGGCTCTCCCCTCTAGTGAACGCAGCTTTGTTTAACTTACTTACCACAGTTGTTTTCATTAACGTAAGTTCCAGGAAGGCCAAAGTCCTGTTGTTCTTTTCTAAGCTCCTGGCAGTGCTCGGTAGCTACCTGCTAGTCACGTGGACAAATGAGCAGGTGGAGGGTCGCACTGCTTTGTGCCGAGGAGCAACCTGCACTTGCTGTTCACTTGTAACTGTCTCTGTTTTCTGCCTGTCAGTGATTTGCTGGCTGATTTCTCCTGATGATCTCATGGCTCCATAGATTCTTCCACACCAGTGTGTTCCCCACGCCAGCAACATTCACATTATCTGGGAACTTGGCAGAAATGTAGATTTTCGGGCCCAAACCCAGCCTTAGTGACCGAGACTCCCCCAGGGGAGAGGCCAGTCACTTCGACTTGAACATTGCCTAGCCTGCCGATGCTCACGAACCACTGCCCTGGCCCTTGGAGGTCTTAAAATGCGCCGGTGTGGCTTACCGTAAAAGATAGCAACTTGTCCTTTTCACATGGAGTGGCAGCGTTGGTAGGGATTGGTAGCTGGAGGGAGAGGACCTGACTTGGGGAATGTGCTGAATAGATAAAAGTGAGTCTCAGACCTATTGGGATTATAGGGAAAAGCCTCTATAGAGACCATGGTGAGAACCAGGGAGACCTGTAGAGTTAGACTGACTTAAGTGGCTCCTATGAGAGAGGTAGCCGGAGTAATCACAATTACTGAAGTGCTGAGATGAAAAGGTGTCGAATAGTGAGGAAGCGTGCAGGATAGTGGTCCTCACTGGGGCTGGAGGGGAGCTTTTCAAGCAACATGGACTACTTCCTCTTCTCTGTCCACCCCCTGCCCCTATTCTGATATGTCTTAAGATCTCTCAGGGGTCAGATAAGAGTGTGTGTAGTTTGAAAAACCTCCCAGGGTAATTTCATATGACATCAAAAAATCATTTGAAATACCAAAAGAAATGGTACTTAAACCTTTTCTTCCTTGGCGATTCTGTTCGTATGTTTCTAACAGATATGCGGTCTTCAATTTTGAGTGAGTCTCTTTCTTGGAAACTGCTTTTATTGAACAGAGTGTAAGAAAATCCAAATTCTGGAGGTAATGCTAAACGTTCTTTTGGAAGTAAATTTTGATGTGAATTTTGAACTGGAACAGTTTTTTCCAGTTTTAAAATACAGGATCAGATTCAGTTTAATAAGTAAATGTTTAAAAACCACATCACTGAAGATCAGCCTTGATGTGATTTCTTTTTTTGATTCAGAAAATACAAGTGTCCTCTTAAGATTCTGTGGGTCTTCTCAGCTGCTCAGAAGCTCTCAACCGAGTTTGATATTCAGAAGTGAATTAAATAATATTTCTGCATGAGCTTTTCAAAACGAAAGGTCCGTTAGGCTTTTGGCAGCATTCTGAACAAGAGGCTTTCCAGTTGCCCAGAAGTAGTCTGGGAAAATCTTTTTAGTGAGAAACTTCCTTGTCACCACTGGGTAGAGATTTTATTTCAATGGAAAGTCGGTTTGTAGTGCCAGCTCCTCCAAGAATCATTGCAGTGCCAATGAGACTTAGACTTACTGTTTTTTGTTTGTTTGTTTGAGATGGAGTCTCACTGTCGCCCAGGTTGGAGTAGAGTGTTGACATCTGGGTTCACTGCAACCTCTGCTTCCCAGATTCGAGCAGTTCTCCTGCCTCAGCCTCCCAAGTAGCTGGGATTACAGGCGTGTGCACCATCACACCTAATTTTTTCTATTTTGAGTAGAAACAGGGTTTCACCATGTTGGCCAGGCTGGTCTCGAACTCCTGACTTCATGATCTGCCCACCTTGGCCTCTCAAAGGGCTGGGATTGTAGATGTGCGCCACCGCACTGGGCTGAGACTCATTGTTTTGCTGTGTTGAAGTCATTGCTGAGAGAACCCTAATTTGCTTGAAAAATTCTGATTTTTAGGGACGTCACTTGGATTAGGAAAATAAACAATATTGTTTTGATTTCATAAACAGCCATTTTCTTAGATCCCTTACAAATGAGTTTTTAAAACTTTGACAATTTTTATTTTTTAATTAAAATTTTAAATTTATTTATAATTAAAGAATACTTTTGCCAGGTGCAGTGGCTCACGACTGTAATCCCAGCACTTTGGGAGGCCGAGGCAGGTGAATCACGAGGTCAAAAGATTGAGACCTGGTCAGCATGCTGAAACCCTGTCTCTACTAAAAATACAAAAATTAGCTGGGCATGGTGGCATGCAGCTGCTCGGGAGGCTGAGGCAGGAGAATCGCTTAAACCTAGGAGGCAGAGGTTGCGGTGAGCCGAGATTGTGCCATGCACTCCAGCCTGGGCAACAAGAGCAAAACTGTCTCAAAATAAAGAATACTTTTTACACATACACACACACACACACACACACACACACACCCCTACATATGTCTGAAAATTGTAAAATCAGGACCAGATTTTTAGAAGTGAGTTCATTTTCTATTGTGTTACATGGACACAGAGAAATAGTGAATTCATTTTTAATATTACTCTTTTCAGATATTACTATTAATACTTTTCTACCAAAACTCAGCAATTTGCATTTTAGATCTGAAGAACTCTAGTTTTGTGTTTCCTAAACCGTGATGTCTGGTTTATCCATCACAGCTCCTTTGAAAGGAAGAGGACACACTGAAGAGTTACTTGAAAAATGCCCCAAGCAGAGTTTAATTGTTTGACGGAATTTCCTTCTGACATGGGTAGCTCCAAATGAATACAAACCCCTGGCCTATGCTTGAAATGGAGTCAGTGATTATTCCCTTTATAGGTGTTTATAAAATGTTACAGGTGTTTCCTGCGATAGTTCCACAAGGAAAGGGACTCATTTTGTTTTTAGGGAGAAGTATCTAGTCAGTACCCTACAAATGCTCATTTTTTCAGTGCACATTTACTTGTTTATTGCAGAAATGGCAGTAAATGTATATATTATTAATTTAAAAACTTCCATAAATGTTTATGGAAGTAAAAAATACAAGTAAAAACGTAATATGGTCATTGGCATTAGATTGTAACTTCAAATATTACTATAAAACTAATATGCATTTATTTGAAAAATTTGAATGGTGTAAATGTGAAAGATTGAAGGTTCTTCACGGCCCGATTCCTACCTCCCCCCTCTCATTCCTGCCCTCAAGAGGAAGCATCTGGAAAAAGTCCTTCTCATTTTCTGTGACATGAGTTACACTTACCTTTTCCTTTCTGGCTATAATAAAGCCATCTTAGCATTTTCATAAAGATTGAGGCCGGGTGCAGTGGCTCACACCAGTAGTCCCAGCACTTTGGGAGGCCGAGGTGGGTGGATCACCTGAGGTCAGGAGATTGAGACCAGCCTGGCCAACATGGTGAAACCCTGTCTCTACTAAAAACACAAAAATTAGCCTGGCGTGGTGGCGGGGGCCTGTAATCCCAGCTACTTGGGAGGCTGAGGTGGGAGAGTCGTTTGAACCCTGGAGGTGGAGGTTGCAGTGAGCCGAGATTGCACCACTGCCCTTCAGCCTGGACGACAAGAGTGAGACTCTGTTTAAAAACAAAAAAAAAAGATTTGGAAATGAGGTTTAGCATTAAGTAAAAACATTAACTTTAAAGAATTTCATTTTGAGGGTCGATAATGTGTTTTATGCCAATTAAGTATTGTTTTCCTTGTTTTATTATAACGTTTAAAAGAAGTTTATTCTTGTAGAGAAAATGTCTTTAATTTTTTTCTAAGATGTTTAAGAAAATGGAAGTATTGTTCAAAATCTTTTTCGATATCTCCCTTCCTCCCGTCCTTCCTCATGACATCATTACTTCTAACAATTTGTTTTATATTTGATGTTTTTGCTATTAATCAAGTTTATAAATCCGTTTAAAATATAAACCAGGGAGAAGGAGCTTATATGATATTATATAAAACTGTTCCTAGTTTAAGCTTGTGTCTCTCTTTGGAGTCTCTCATGTACACACAGAATATCATCATTTCTTTCTTTTCCTTCAAAACTTTCAAGGGCTTCCCTTTCCTTATGGCATAACATTTTAAGTTCCCAGCTTTGTGGACCAACTCTGGTTCCAGCCTGCTTTTCTGGATGGAGCTTGAGGTCTCTTGTTTCCTACTGTATTCTTCTTTTTCTGCACCCGATAAATGTCCCGGTTGAGTCAGACAACTTAATCTTTATGTCTCCATGTGAATACGTCTGTTCTCTCAATCTAGAATTTTGTTTTTTTACTCACTTTTCCACATATTTCCCATCCCTACCCTTCAAAAACTGGCTCAGCGTCATCTTGATGTAGCTTTTGTTGACTTTTTTTCCCCTTTCCAAACGCAACTGATGGAGCCCACTTCTGCTCTAACACTTACTGCTTTCTCCTAGCTGATTTTAAGTTTCATGTCTAAAAGTCTGTGAGCACTTTAGGAACAGCTCTGGGGTCTGACTACCCCGGTTTAATTGCTTGCTCTGCTACTTACCAGCTACCTGCCTTTGGGCAAGTTACTTAACGATGAATGCTTTAGTTTTATCATCTATAAAATGAGGCTAATAGTACTACCTTTCCTATATTTGTTAGGAGAATTAAATGAGACACTCTTCCGATGATTACAGACAGTGTTCCTCACGTTATAAACAATATATGTTAGATATTTACTGGAAGGACTATTTTTCAGTACTTAGTTCGTTGTCTGAAGGTGTTTGATAGTGTGTTTTATTAATTAAAGGGAAGTTTTTCTATGTAGGCTTATGGGTTAATTTATCAATTTAATGGTTATTACTACGATAGTCTCTAGTGTTTTAAGACAACTTTAGTTTTTATTGGCAACCCAATGATTGTTTTATTTTTAAGTTTGTTGAAAATTTCAAACTTTCTTGTGCCAAAATAAGTGATAAAAGAGCCAGATAAGCACCTTCTCCTGCTGCGTCACCTTCCAGGGGAATGACTGATGCACTTGGAGCTCCTGACAGATCTGCTCTCTTGTCTTCCTAGGCCTTGTGTAGAATCACTCGCCATTCTCCCACGGCCTTCCAGAACGTCATTGAAAAGGTGGGACTGAACTCAGTCATAAGCTCGCTGGCCTCTGCCATCTGCAAAGTTCAGCAGTACATGTTGACCTTGTTCACGGCCATGCTGTCCTGTGGCATTCATCTTCAAAGACTCGTCCAAGAAAAGGTTTGACTCAGATTTCACCTGTTCTTCTGCATTTAAAATTGTTGTTTTCTTCTGCAGTTTTGGTGGTTCCACAAATCATGTCATGTTTGCAAAATTTATTTTTCATATCAAGAGGCCTTTTTGAACGTTGCCAATCATTTGTACCACAGAGGGTTCATCTTAACGTGTTTTAAGAGGCTCTCAGTGATTACAATAGAAAGTTTTTAAGCGGCTTCTGCCTGCCTGTCCCGTTTCGGTAATGTTAAACTAGAGCCCTTGCTGTATGCTGGCATTTCTTATGCCTCAGCAGCTCCAGCCTCCATCTTTCTCCCATGTTCTTTGCTATTTTAGGGGGAGGGGATCTCTTTATATTTTCTGCTTAGTCTGACCTGTTTTTATTCCCTTCCTTGTAATACTCCGCCAGTCGAAATTATAGAGCCCCCATTGTGCTTTTAACTTAGCCCTCTTCCAGTCCTTTTGTGCCTTTATTATAGATACAGTCGCGTTTGTGACTTTGGAATTCACATCACAGAACTGCATAGTGAGAAACAGATCTCTGTAGTAGCCTTTCTCAAAGCGTCTTTAGCCCCTTGCTGGAGCGGTCCCTGGACCAGTAGCACTGACACCACCTAGAAGCGTGTTGGAAATGTAGACTCGTGGGCCCCATGCAGACTGGCTGAGTCAGAATCTGCATTGTGGCGAGATCTCTAGGTGATGTGTTTGAACTTTATGGCTTGAGAAGCTTTGCCTGAGAATATTAGTGTTTGATGACTGTTAACATGTAAAAAGTAAAGTACACCTGGCTGTATAGAAATTTGGAAAGCAGTGAGTCACACTTAGAAATATTTTCCATTGTACAGTTTTTTCCCAGTTTTTAATATGCAAGTGTGTAATGTGATTCCTAATGAGGGGAATGCATTTGAAACTGATTCTTTAAAATGTAGCAAGCAGCGTTCTTTAAACTTACTGTGAGTCCTCATGAGGGGAACGCAGTGTGCAGCGTTATTTCAACCAGTTGTTCTTTTCTTCTAGCAGGGGTAGAGAGGTGTACCTTTCTTTCTTTTTTCCCTTTTTTTTTTTCTTTTGAGATGGAGTCTTGCTCTGTCTCCCAGGCCGGAGTGCAATGGTGCAGCCTTGGCTCAGTGCAACCTCCGCCTCCTGGGTTCAAGGAGTTCTCCTACCTCAGCCTCCTGAGTAGCTGAGACTACAGTTGCCTGCCACCATGCCCTGCTAAGTTTTGTATTTTTTAGTAGAGACAGGGTTTCGCCACGTTGTCCATGCTGGTCTCAAACTCCTGACCTCAGGTGATCCACCCGCCTTGGTTTCCCAAAGTGCTGGGATTACAGGCGTGAGCCACCACGCCTAGCCGAGGTGTACCTTCAATTCAGAGTTCTGCAGTCTATGGTGAAGGTAATACTGCTCAGAAGTGTGGAATGGAACCAGTTAAATAGGCTGTTTACCATGGTTCTTCTGCATTAAATGAAACACATTAAATTTTGTCTTTTATCATGAAACTTAATTTCAGTAACTACTATGAATACCTCTCAGATTTACTTAGTGAACTTGATCTGTAGAAGTCCAAATAGAGAGTAAACCACTTCTTGTCTTCAATTATTCTGATTTAGATTCTGCTAAGAAATTTGTGCCTCAGAGAAAGTATTTTTTTCCAACAAATCTGTGCGTCTAATTTTTACTATTAAATTTTCAGTCTTTAAATGTTCTTATCATTGTATTAGACAAAGTAATCCTAGAATAATTTTACTGTGTAATCCATGGTTAGAGAGGCTGAGAGGTTTAGAAGAATTTGTTTTTTTTTTTTTTTTTTTAACCCCCAGCACAGGCATGGATTAAGTTTCAAATATAGTATTTTACAAAAGCAGTAAAATAGGATGTATGTTAATATAATTTTAATCATTTATAATATATAACTACTATTCCACATATCTTAAGGAAATGAGCCATTAAGTGTATGGAATGATAAACAGTCTTTTATTTTTTATTAGTATTGGTACATTAAAAACGTTTTTTTGTGTGGTAGATAAAACAGAACGTAGAATTGATCATTTCAACCATTTTTAAGTGTGCAGTTCAGTAGTGTTAAGTAAATTCACATTGTCGTGAAACAGATCCCCAGATCCTTTTAATCCTGCAGAGCAGAAACTCTGTACCCATGAAGCATTTTGGGTGGTGTTATATTTTGTTTAAATCTGACACTGAATTGGCAGTGGGAAGAAGGGTGCTGCATTGATGCTGCTGGGTCGGGATGGAAGCATGGGTCCCCAGGGGGCCACGTTTGCCACCTCGGGAGGTAGAAGAGCTCCTCATTACTGCTGGGGGAGAGTGGGAGGTCAGGCTTTCTGTTAGGGCTCCTCTGATGATACCCTGGCTGCTGGGGGAAGGCATTCTCATCATCGCCTCCGCTGATGCTGGTGGAGGGAAACGGGCAGCACAATGGAGGACTTTCTATGCTAGGGTTGGGGTGAAAGCTCCAGCTCTCCGCTTGCCCTTTTCTGACACCACTCTGGCAGGGGATAGTGCTGGGGCACCTTGCTGTATGGTCACCTGAGGTTGGAAGTCTAGGCTGCCTACTTGCTCTTTGCTGGTGGGGCTGGGGTGTGGATTTTCCACGGTGTTTGGCTGAAGTAGAGTAGCTGTTTTCTGAAAATCTTCTGTCTTGCCAGGCTGCCATCTCTCGGTCCCTTGGTTTGAGAGAAGGGTTTTTCTTGTTTATTTCTGTATGTGTACCTCTTGCTATTTCTACGCTCTTGGGTTCTTCAGCACCCAATCTGGGACTTAAGAGGCAAAAAGACAAGTCAGTGAATGCATTCCTGTTTTGATCCTCAGGTTTCAAGGTCCTTAGCTGGCTGCTGCCTTCTTTCCATGTATCTGTCATCTTCTATTTGTTTCCTGTATACTGTCCAGGGATTTTAGCTGTACTTAGTGGTAGGAATAGGGAGAAGTGCATCTTTTCTCTCTTGTTTTCTGGTTTTTTAACTGTATCTGTGACACCTCAGTAATGTACAATGAATTTTTATTTAGAATGCAAGGTTCTATTTTAATAAAAAAGGATTAATAAAATTTTAGAATTTATTGAACATTTACCTTTTTTTTTTTTTTCGAGACAGGGTCTCACTCCAGTTGCCAGACTAGAGTGCAGTGGTACAATTCTGGCTCATTGCAGCCTTGGCCTTCTGAGCTCAGGTGATCCTCCCATGTCAGGCTCCTGAGTAGCTGGGATTACAGGCGTGCACCATCATGCCTAGCTAATTTTAATATATATATTTTTTGTAGAGATGGGGTCTTGCTATGTTGCCCAGGCTGATCTTGAACTCCTGGACTCAAGTGATCCCCCCACCTCAGCCTCCCACAGTGCTGGGATTACAGGTGTGAGCCGCCATGCCTGGCCCTGGACATTTACTTTGGGTCAAATGATTTTCAACTCTGGGTCTTTCACAGATGAGACAGTGTGTTGAGTATTTTTGTCAAGTTATTGGAGTGCATAAGTGCTAGGTACAAGAGCTTATGCCCTAACAGGAGGGGCCGATAATAAACAGGAAAACACAGTAATTTGGGATAGTTCCCTGAAGAACATAGAATAGGGTATGTGATAGAGTGACTGCAAGGGGCCGTGTGCAGGTGCAGTGGAGCCAGACAGTCTTAGCCTGGGTTGGGATGGGGAGCAGTCAGGGAAGACCTCTCTGAGAGGCACATTCTGGCTTTGGATGATAAGAAAGAGCTTGAAATGTAAAGATGTAGGGGAAGAACGTGGTGGTTCAGCCTTCCTGAAGTGTGAGTCTTAGGGAAATGTGGGGAGAGAAAGAAGGTCCACAGCGCGGGGCATAGCCAGCAGGGAGGAGGGAGCATGGAAGAATCTGGGCAGTTGGAAGCAGACCCAGGTCACGTAGGGTCATGATATTAGCCTTCCTAGGGGGTTTAGCGCAACGATCATTGTCTTATTGCTACTTAAAGAAAAGGGAGTGTATTTGTCTATACATGGGTGTTTGAGGTGCAGGTTTACCAGCCTTATTGTTGATAGGTTAGAATAGTGGAAGATGGGGAAACCCAGGAGCAAATTGCTTCCTCTTGAACAGGCAGAGGGAATTATACATACTGTTTTTTGGCAGGACTTATGCCCATATATTATGGTCTTTTATAATGGAAATCCAGCCTCCAAAAGAGTTCCATTCCCTTCCTTTTAAATAAAAGCTGAATTACTGTTTACTACAGAAAACTTAGAAGACTCTAAAGAAGAAAAAATCGACTGGAATCTCACTACGCAGACGTAATTATTGTTAACATGTTGGTTTATCTCTTTAGTTTTCTGTCAGCGTCTCTGCATTTTGTGCATATATTTACCGAGTTAAAATAAAATCGTGTTGATTTTTCTTGCTATTTTCATGAGTGTTTTACTGTGTCATTAAATATTCCTCAGGGACAAAAAACTACCTTGTTACATGATTTATTTTGTGACACACCGGTAATTTAGGTCTTCTGCCATGGTTGAGCCATTTGGCCCCTGTGTTTTGGCTTCCTCTTACCTTGGTTTGGTGAATAGCCTGCCTCGCGCATGTTTGTTCACCTCTGCTAGACGACCTCAAGTGCTCCGCACATTTGTGAGGCTCCACATCGATGGTGCCAGATTGTTTCCTGGAGAGGTGGACGTCGTGAGTACTGTTGAGTTACATTTCGCCAGCAGTCATTTAAGCCACCTGCTGTATTTTCTCATTGTAAAATCCGAGTTTAACATTATTTAACTAGCAGTGCCTTCCGTGTTTCATAGTTATTTGCAGTTTGTGATTAATCTCTGGTTCTCCATTTGAGGTTTGTAACCGCAGCCCGGTCTTCGTCTTAAACTACACTAACTAGATGGTGGAGTCTGTTGTCCTCTGAACCAGCGCAATTTCCCGAGTGCATGCTCACGTGTTGAAGGAACTTGACCCGTTCACACCGTCGTCTGCATCAGCTGCCTGGGTGTCAGTGACCTTAGAGGGTTATTATTGAGCAGCCGTTTACATCATTAG